CACTTGAATATGAAATGTGATTCAATGTGTGGTCTGTTTAAACAACTTTTCAGGAAATGCGCTGTTTTTCCAATCCAAGAGGCATCCCTACCTCATTCAAGGTTTATTTTAAGACTTTAAGGACTGTACGAAGTTCGGGAAACTTTGAACATTATTATCTCAGAAGGAATTGTTTAAACCTTGGGTAGAATTAAAAATAAAGCTGAGAGACAGAGGTAAAACAGGCTGGAAGAGTCATCCTGAGAGGAAAATAAACCCACATAGGCTTTCTTCCCAACTGGAGCTCCAGATAAAAAAGAGAGGCAGCAGGCAGGCACACAGAGTTCCCTGCGATTACAAAACCAGCCAGTCATTCCCGATAGAAGGAAGCAAGTGGGCTGCAGAAGGGAGGAGGACGAACAGAGCTCTCTCACGTGCATATGTCTAAAGAAAACCAGGCAGCCCTTTGGGTACTTCTAATTGTGTCAGGACAGAAGGCACATGATGCTGAGGAATGAGGATGAGTTGGTTTAAATCCAAACAGCCCCACTCACCAGCTGGCTGGCTGTGTTAGCCTGGGTCTTCCAGGACATGCAAAAGCTGCATTAGGGAAAAGACAGGCAATGGGAGGGAGTTGAGGACATTGGGAGACTTCTCGGGCCTCCAGTGCAGGACTGACCCATGTGAAGGTGAGAGGGAAGGAAGCTTGGATCGGAACATTTTACACTACACGGCAACGTGGGAGTCTACCAGCTAAAGATCAGAGGGGTTCCCGGAGTCTGCCTGAGTGTCCTTGGCGTTATGGATTGGATTGTGCCTCTGAGTGGCTGTGAAGGCAGGCTGTTTGAGTCCTTGAAGATGCTACCACATAATATGAGGTTATATTGGAGTAGGGCAGGTCCTAATTATATATATGTATATATAATTATATATATATAAAGCCTGGATTTTTTTCAAAGCTATGTATTATATATATTTTTTACAAAACAACCTTATCACCTTCAAAGTACTCTCCATTACACTTAATGCGTTTGTCAAATCTGCGATTCCATTCTTGGAAACATTTTTCAAACTCATCTGTTTGGATGGCTGACAGCACCTCCTCATTTTTTTCTTCACCTTTTCTACATCATCAAATCACTGTCCTTTTATGTCCCTCTGCATTCTTGGAAGCAAAAAGAAGTTGCAAAGGTCTGGTGAGTATGGTGCATGGGGCAAAAGAAGCATGGCCCACTGAGATGGCTGCATGAGCAGGTGCATTGTTGTGGTGACAAAACACGTCCCCCATCTGTCACAAGTCAGGCCTTTTTGGTCACACACTGTTATGCTATCTTTCCAGAACCTCTAAATAGCAAGCTTCATTAACAGTCTGACCTGGTTGAACAAACTCCAAATGCACTATCCCCCTCACATCAAAAACAAACAAAAACAAATGAGCATCATCTTGATCTTTGACAAGTTTTCTTTGGGTGAGGTGACAAGAGAGTCTTCCACTGGCTTGATTGATGTTTGCTTTGGGGTCATAAGAATAGCACCATGTCTTGTCCCCAGTAGTCACCTCGGAAAAAAAGTCTGGGTCACTTTGAAGCTATTCTTTCAAAGCACCGCATGTTTCCATCAACACTTTTTCCTGATCAATCAGAACCCAAGGCACAAATTTAGCAACAACCCTTCTCATTCCCAAATCTTCCGTTGAAATTCGCTGAACTGAACTCCAAGACAGTCCAGATAACTTCCTCATCTCTTCAATGGTACATCGTCGGTCTTCGAGCACAAGTGCAGGAATTCTGTTGACATTTTTGTCCGTTCAGGAAGTTGATAGGCTACCAGAACCAGGTTTGTCATCAATCAACATTTCACCTTTTTTGAAGTGAGAAAACCACTTGTACACTTGAGTTTTTCCCAAAGCACTGTCCTTGTAAGCTGTGTCAACATCACAACTGTTTCTGCAGCATTTTTCCCCGAGCAGGAAACAAAATTTCACAGCTGCACTCTGTTCTCTTAAATCAGCCATCACAAAAAACAAGGTTCAAGTGAAACTGCTTTTATGAAAAAATTCACTGTGACCAGAGAGAACCTTCCCAAGTGACGCAACTGAGTGCACTAACTCAGAGGGAGTTGCTCTATGCTCAGTTGTGTGTGTGTGGGGGTGGGGTGTGTGTGTGTGAGGGGCTGTGTACTACCAAAGCTCCGCCCAGCGGAACTTTTTCCATTTTGGGGGGGGGGTTACTTCCTTGTATAACCAAACAATTTGATTACCATTGTGTTTTTGTGCTTTGGACTATTAATACCAAGACATAGATTTGACTGGACCTAATTATGTTTGCGTGATCTCCTTTAAAAAGATAAGAGACTCAGCATGGCACACATAGGGAAGGTGGCCACACAGCATCTATTAGATGGCAGCTACCCACAAAAGAACACCTAGGTCGACCAGAAACTGAGCTACTTAAGAAAAGAACTTCCCGTAGAGTCTTCTGAGAGAAGACTGCTATACCCTATTAAAACTATTAGCTTCTAGAACTGGGAGGCAACACACTTCTGTTGTTTAAAGCAGCTCTGTTTGTGATAGTTTGCTACAGCAGCCACAAGAAAGAATACGCCTGTCCTGCTCAGCCATTGTCTAGAGCAGCCTGGGTAAATGTGGTCTCAGAGTGAGCACATCGGAAATGCAGTCTCACTTCTCTGAGTCAGTTTCCCCAACGGTACATAAAGGCTGTTGTGAGGATTAAGTAAAACAAAACCCTTCAGGTATTTAGAATAGAGTTGAGTGCCCCCAAAATGTTCAATGAATCTAAATTTCCCTCATTCTCCATCCTGAGACAAGTTCAGCACAGCTAGATGACCTCTCCCTGCACCACCACCCCCCACCCTAGCTCTCCCATAAACCCCTCCTCCATCTCATTCCATCCCCTCATATACAACAGGAAGCAGATCTGGGTGGCCCAGTTTGGGGTCAGAGGACTTATGCCTTTATTGTCACTGGCAAGGACACCAACGCTGTAGTAAGGGGAGAAGGGTGATGCAGAGGGATGACTAGACCTTGAGGGGGAGGGTCCAGATGTCCCTTAGACTCTAGAACTCTAGCTAACACCCCTGCATATAGGAGATGTACCGTCTGGTCAGAGGAACGAGTCACACCGCTCAGAAATGACTCTCAATACTTCAAGCTAAGGTCCAGACTGTCTGCTGCCCAGGACTGTTGACTGCTGGGCAGCTAACTTCCTCAAAGGGACCTTTCAGAGACAGCTGTGGAAAGTGGTCCCCAGTCTTTTCTCTGCCACAGCTTTAATCTCACCGTTATCAAACTTCATGGGCTCGTGCTCCTACTCAATCTCTCTCTCTCTCTCTCTCTCTCTCTCTCTCTCTCTCTCTCTCTTCTCTGGCTCTCTAGCTTGCTCGCTCTCTTAGAAATCCAGGTCTTTTTCCTTACTGGTCCTTCTGCTTCCAAGGCCCTCCCCCTTCTCTCCTCCTGCTAGGGAGACCATCTTCCCACTCCAACTCAGAAGGCCCATCTATGGACAGCCTTTCGTGACACCAGTTCTACTCCTGGCTCCAGTTCTCTACCCCTGCCGTGCCGTCTCTCATGCCTCCGGTTGTGTCTAGAAATGGAGCCGTGATAACATGGGACTGCTGACAGTGTCGAGGTGAGAATGCAATGAATCATGACAAAAGCCCCTGTATGAGCCGTGGCTGTGCTCATCGGTGGTCGTGTGTCCAACAGATAGTTCTCTGCGAGCATGTAAGCTGGTGGTGGGACGGGAGAGCCCACCGGGTGGCCATGTGGAAGGAGCACGGACTCATGGTGGGGAGACCTGCTTCTGCCTCCGCTGCTGGTGGGCTGTGTGCCTGAGCCAACCCTGGTTCTCGTTGCGCAGTTGGGCGTGCGTGGCCTCTGAAGGTCCTCCTGACCGCGTTGACTCGGGCTCTGGGCCATGGCTTCTGCAGGCACTGCTGAGCTCCCAGGTCCTGACCACTCCCCCTTCCAGTGCCGACTCCCCAGGCTGGACAGCTCCCGGGGAAGTCTGGAGGCCACGGAGGCTCCTGAATCTCAGCATCTGGACAGCACCTGGGATTGCCGAGGCGGAGGGAGGCCCAGCTGGCAGGAAGATTACGCCTAGAACTCCGGGTGGAGCGTGTGGGAAGCTCCCAAGATCTCAGGCAGGAGGCAGGAGGAGCTGGGAAGATGTTAGCCTGTTAGTGGAGGATCTTAGAAACTTCAGTTTTGGGGGTTTACTAACCCTCTTTCAGGCTAACATCACCACCACCTCGTCATTTAGACCTCGATGCCTTGATTGGCCCTAATCCAAATATACGATAAAAGATTCTCACTTTTATGGAGAAGAAAAATTTCCCCAGTGAACGTTCAGAGCCTTGTGGGCAATCAAGGGCTCCGTCCCACACCCAGTAATGCTGTCACGCCCTGGACTATGGAGATGTGTGTGTGTGTGTGTGTGTGTGTGTGTGTGTGTAGTCCTTTGTGCTTTTGAGGCTGGATTCAGTCTTTGGTTTTAGTTTCTAGAGAGGTTGCATGCCCACTGGGAGTCATCATTGTCCATGGGCATATCTTATTTGAGTGCCTGATGACATTTATAGGCTGAGTTCTCTAACGAAGCAAAACCAGGGAAATATAGATATGCATGTGCACACACATAGACATACATACACACATATAATGTCAGAGGTCAGGCTAGGGTCTGACACCTCCATAGGCACAGGAGCTAACTAAGATCAGCAGAGACAGGCTGCTGGCTCACAGATGGTGGAGCTCAATGAACCCTAAGAACCACAGTTCAGATGATGACAAGCTGGATGCAGGATCCAGAGCCTGCAAGTTAGTTTTGTCAGCATGTCCATATATATATTGGATACAGGCTAAACTCCCCTCACAACCCTTTGGCTGCTCAAATTAAATGACATCATGGGTGTGATTATATCATCATATACCTTCTGAATTACATTATTGCATAATTGCCCAAGTAATGAGAATCATGGCCCAGCTAAGTTGCCACACAGCCTTAACCATCACAGTCCCCAAAGACAACATGCACTGTACGTAAGTATTAAAGACTATGTGTTTTTAAGAAGATTCTTTTTTTTCCAATTAGCAATAATCGCACCTCGGATAAACCTCACTGGCTATGATATTGCCACTGCGCAAAGCTTAAGCAGATTGTATAAGGCACACTTTTCTCTGGGCCATCAATCCATTTTCTCATAGGACGAGTTCATGTAGGGTTTCCCATGCGCTGGAAACTGTGATCTCCCTTCCATACCTATCATTTCACCATCAACTGGGAGACAGGATGATATAGTTAAAGTTTATTGTGTCAACCTGGCCGATAAACACATGTGAGGTCAATTGAAGGGCGGAGAGAGAAATAGCTCAGTGAGCCTTGCCTTTCTAGTTCTCGGGTCTCTTGCTTTATGGTGGTCAGACCAGAGTTCAGTTGCCTTAGCCAGTTCCCTGCTTTAGCTGGCAAGGCTGACTTCCTGCAAAACATCCCTGAGGAGAAACCACATGGACCTACCCCGATGAAGCCCTGGGTGCTGGAGCAGCCATGTGGAGACCCCTGCCCATGCTGAGATGCTTACACATTCACTGACTCGGCTTTCCTCCTGCGGTGAGCATCATTGTGTGTGTTTTGTGAGATGGAGGAGGATTTTGTGGGTTGGTGTTGGACATATGGGTTAATGGGTTAATGTTGGACTTGTGTGCTTGGGCAGCACTGGGTTGGGATGTTTTCTTAATGTGCACTTACCCTTTATATAAAACTTTCTCTTACCCATGAGTTTCTGTGGATTTGTTTCTTTAAAGTACCCAGACTAACACACAGGGATTCTTATTGCCTTTTCACAAATTAGGAAATGTAACTCAGAGAGGGTGAAATGACTTGCCCAAAGCCATACAGTAAGTAACATAACCAGGATTTCAACTGAGGACTTTGAACTTCTAATTATATCAGATTGGCTTTCTCTTACTTCCTTCAATCCCCACACTCCACTCTCCCTGGCAAAGTTCTCAGGCCCACCCTACTAGTTTGAAGTAGAGAACATAAAGGAGAGTATAGTTTGGTGCATGAGGTCAAAGATTTATTTTGCCCAGGATCAGTTATTTTTTTCATGTATTTATTCATTCGTTTAACACAATTCATTGGGAGCTAGCTAAACAGCCACTTGTTCTTAACCCCAGAGACCTAAAAGGTCCTAGTCACCAGGGGGCTTCAGAAAGTTTGCAGAAAAATTGAATTAAAAGATAATGGAATTTTCCATGAACTTTTTGCAGCCCCTCTCCAACCCCTATACAAGCCAAGGCTCGACACCACCCCACTCCTATCCGGAAGTGGAAAGGCAAATTAAGAAGGGGCACATGTAGCAGTGGCCCAGATTGGGATGGGGGACTGATAATGTAGGAAGTGCATCCAAGGGAGTGAGAAGGTGAAGGTCCCACCAATTAGAAATTCAGTCTAGACTCCAGATAGAAAAACCAAAAAAAATAAAAAATTTAAAACCTTTTGCTCCCATGAATTTTAGAGTGGGATATTTTATAAGTCCAAGATAGGGTATAAAAGTATATCCTGGGGAACGAGGTGAGGTGGGAAATAGAGGCGCACTTGTTGGTACCAGTGATGATCTAGATGAGTAACTTATGTATTCTAATTTTTGTTTCATTATCTAGAAAATAGGAGTAGTTTCCCATATTGCAGGGCCACTGATCAGGTTTCACAAGACACACGTGCAGTCTTCCGTGCAGTGCCTGGCGACCATGGTTAGTCCAGTCCCCTGATGTGTACTGGAACACCTGGTCCAGAGCGGAGGGGCCCCCATTCTGAGTCCAAGGAGGGTCTAAACTCGACAAACATACATCTTTTCACAGACACCCACATTTCTCCAATGGTGCTGATGAGCACCAGACTCCAACATGGGTTGATTTAAACCAGGATATAGGAGCCCTGGTGGCATACAGGTTATGCGTCTTGGCGCTAATTGCAAGGTCAGCCGTTTAAAACCACCAGCTGCTCCACGGGAGAAAGACAAGGTTTTCTCCTCGCATACAGAGTTACAATCTTGGAAACCCACAGGGACAGTTCTACTCTGTGCCATAGGATTGCTATGAATCAGAATCAACGCATAGGTAGTGATGGTTTTCGGATTGAGTGTAAGAATGTTCGGAATGGGGGTGGTGGCCGACTTCCTCTAACCTCACAAGGGGGGAAGAGAATGACAATCAATGTCAGCCCAAGTCAGGCATACCTCCACCCTCCAACCTTGTCATCAATGCTGATACCAACCATCTGTCCCATGGCACTCTACCTTCCTGTGGGGTTCAAGAATTCATTATAATGGCCACATACATCTCACGGATGATATTCACAGCTAGGGGATTTATTGGGAAAGTTAACAGAGTGAGGGACAGAAATGTTGAGGATACAGTTCTTCAGTCAGAATTGTGGGAAACAGAAGGATTTCTCTCAAGTTGTCTCCCCCAAATATATGCCAGACCTGGCTGCTTGCAAATGACTATACACTTGGAGGTCATCAGGAGTAGATTAGGGGTCATTCTCCATAAGAGCTATCAGCCATCTAGACCAAGCAGACACCACTGTTTATCTCACAACAAGCAGGGCCCACTCCCTTCTGATAAGGATAGTAGTTGTCTGTTTCCTTATAGGAGACACCAGAGAGGTCAAACCCGCCCAAGGATGACTAAGATTAGGCTGCCATCATGAATCTAGGGTCCGCCCATCTTGTCACATGTATACCCCTAGTCCCTCCCATTCCTATGGGCACACCCCTAGCTCATCCCCTTCCTGTCACGCTTATGCCTATCATAGAGCCCCTTCCTAAGATGTGTATGCCTATTGTACTGCCTCTTCCTGTGATGTGTGAGTCTGTAATCATATCCCCCTAAAGTGATATAACGCTTGGTTAGCAATAAAGAAAAGGCTTTCCCCGCCCTCGGCCCTGTGGGCTCTCCTGCTCTCCCGGCCGGGTTCCCCCCACGTGGACCATCAGTGCGGCTGAGGTGAGCAATGCTACCATGAATTGTGTCTGACTCCATTACTTGACTCTATCTTCTACCTCTCATGCTCTCTATGACTTTACTATAATCTTTACTTATTATTGCGGTATAATTGCGCCTACCGGACCAGTGGTGATTTGTGGGGGACCCCGCTCCCATCTCCCCACAAGAATAGCCTCTTCTCAGCCATGCTTGCCCAAGACACACTTCTCAGGTAAGACACCCTTCCCTCTGGTCCTCTTCCTCTCCGCCATGGAGAAACTTGGCCTCTGCTTTACTTGGGGAATTATTACAAAGCCCTTTGTCCGCTCTGCTTTTAAATACCCCAAAGGAACCTCTCCTTGCCAGCAAGCCTGCTGTCTGGGGGCTCTCAACACCCCCCACCCCCACCCCCCTGGACCAGGAAAGAAGGGGTAGACGGTAAAGGAGAGTGTTTTTCCACCTGTAGAACCATCTGAAGCCATTTGTTGTGATTAAAGGGTTGGAATGCAGTCTTTATGTTTCTGGTGGAGGGCTCATCAGAATTGGGGCCCGCCTCCAGGTCTTCTACAGCTGCATTCTGACCTGTCAAGTATCAGGATGAGGTAGACAAAGAGAAAATACATGACAGCACGCCCCTCCCCCCATAAAGAGATGAAAGCAGTTCCTCTAGGGAGGAGAGTGGAATTGTGGGACTGATTTTTTCCCCTAACTAGCCTTGGACGATTGGACTCTTTATGTGCAGATTACACATACGTGTGCATTTCACAAAAACAAACACAAACGTGCCTTTATGAAGTCAGAGCACTCTTGGCTCATTCTTTTTTAGTGATCCTCATGCGCTATCTATTCTGAGTCATGGATTTTCATTCCAGACGAACATTGAGCTAGGCCAAGGCAAAAACATGGTGGTGGTTGTTCTTGTTCTTGTCGGAAGAGGTACCTGAGAATACTGCTCCCTGTGTTCTTCCGGGCATCCAGCAAGGGGAGGGCCTGCCCTAGGACTGCTGCTCCATCCTCACTGGTCAATAAAGGAATCAGTTGGTCTCCCTACCTATTAATCCATCTCAGCAATTTGGACCAGAGCCTGGATTCCTAGGGCTCAGTCGCCACAGGAAGCTGTGCAGCTAGAATCTGACCACTTCTAAAGTGAAGGCCAGACCCAACACCGGTGTCAGATTACCTAATAAGCAGGGTAAGCAAGAGCTCACTTGTGCTTACTTACTAATCTCTAGAGAAGAATGTCACATTTCCCCCTGAATCAAAGTTTCTGCTGCTGGCTGTGAATAGCATCAGTCTGTCTCCCAACCTCCCAACCCCTATCTACAGAATCAAAGCTTTTTTGAAAATGTACAATCCCTGAAAGAGATGGAGTACCCAGCAGACAAAGTAAGCATGGATTTACTTGTGCTTACTTAATAATCTGTAGTGGACAGTGCCATTATTCACTATAAATTATTAAGTAGGCACAAGTAAACTCATGTTCATCTTTTATTATTATTATTATCGTAATCTGCCCCTACTGTGGACCCAAGGAGCTTGGAGAAGGTATTCTTTGAAGTCCTGCCTGAAGCAGCATAGACATCTTGGCCTTTTAATTATAACACTCACAATGAAAATTAAACAAGAAACTGCATAAAGCTGCTAGATGTCAACAAATAAAAGTTACTCTGGCTGCAAATTGGCACAATTTCTAAACATTGCACAGACAGTCGCTGTTTGTAAGTAACACAGTAATTCCATCCATGGTTTTTACGCACTCCCAATAAAGACATCGTTTTACAGATGAGAAAACTGCAATTATGTGAGATTCATTCACTTACCCCCAGTTACTCAACTAGGAGTCCCTGGTAGTGCAACAGCTAACACACTCGGAGACCAGCAGACTGGAGGTTTCAGTCCTCCCAGGAGTGCCTCAGAAGGACGATCGGCATGTGCTTCCCGGAGGTCACAGGCCAGGGACCCCAGGAGACCTCACGCTGCTCAGAGCACACGAGGTCACTGCGAGTTGGAATCAATACTGAGGCAACTACTTTGGCTTTGTCTCTTCTTTGTTTAACAACTCCACTGAGAAGCGGCCAAGTCTATTTCAAACTTAAATCTGCCAGCCTCAAAAAGTGGTCTTTCCCCAGGATAACATGTTGCTTTCTACTGGAGCAGAGA